CAAAAACCCAAAGCACACTTCCAGAACCAGCACTTGCAGCATGGACCCCACCCACATGATCCATTTAGGGGCCCCTGGCTTGTGGCCCAGATAAAATTATTGTGATCATGATGCTAATGGATAGGACTTTCATAAACCATGGAAGGGTAGGATTTTGTTTTCTCCTGTGTCTAGAACATACCAACCTCAGTGAAGCCTTTAACATGAAAATGGGACCTGCATGGGGCCCCTGGGTGGCTCAGTGGTTAAGTGTCTGACTTGTGATTTCAGCGCAGGTCATGATCTCATGGTTCGTGAATTTCAGCCCTGCGTTGGGCTCCATGCTCAGCATGGAGTCTGCTTGGGATTCTCTCTCTCCCTCCCTCTCTGCCCCTCCCCGACTTGTTCTCTGTCTCTCACAATAAACAAGTAAACTTTGAAAAAAATGGACCTGCAGTTTACTTCCAATCCCTGAAATTACTGCCTTGGTTCTCATGTTCTAAAAACCCAAAAGGAATTACTCATTGGTATTTGTGGGTCATTATCGGAGTCATTATGTGGTCATTATCAGGATAAACAGTCATTGTCAGAGGAAGAAAAAGAAGGGTACATGAGGATGACAGTGTGGGTCACAAGCAGAGTGTCCTCTAGATTAAGCCAGTTGAGGGGCACCTGGGTGGCTCAGTCAGTTAAGCTCCCGACTTTGGCTCAGGTCATGATCTCACAGTTCGTGAGTTTGAGCCCCACGTCGGGCTCTGTGCTGACAGCTCAGGGCTTGGAGCCTGCTTCTGATTCTATGTTTCCCTGTCTCTCTCTGCCCCTCCCCTACTCGTGCTCTCTCTCTCTTAAAAAAAAAAAAAATTAATAGATTAAGCCAGGAGTTTCTGCCATCACCATGGAGCAATTTCAGTGTGCACTGTCCCATCTCCAAGAAGGTTGGGAAACCCCAGGAAACATAGAAATAACTCCCAGGACTATAATTCATCAGGCCTCTTGGTTCCAGAAACTAGGCAGAGCTGCCACACTGGTCCAAGCCAGTGACACCGGATAGCCCCAGGCTTGGTCCTAGCAAAGCTCAAACGAGGCTAGAGTATGGAAAAGTAGGAAGAGACGGTCCTTTGTCATCCTCAGTTTTGGAGAAAACCTCCATGAATCTCAGCATCGTCAGTAGCAATGTGACTTGCTCCTCAGGTCTCAGGTGGAGGCGGGCCTCTGGGGCAGCCCCAGGAAAACTGAGGGATGGAGAGGGTCTGAGGGTCTTCCTCTGTGAGTGTGTATGTTTGTGTGTGACTGAGGGTAAGTGTGTGTGTGGGTATAACTTTCTGATCCCAAATCATCCCTCACATCTGCTCTTCCACTTAGAGGCCCTATTAAAGGCCACCTGAGCACTCCTCTGTCCCTCCCCTGCCAACCAAAGGGACGTCTCTCCTCTGTGTCTCCTAGCACACTTTGTCCTGGGATAGCGACCATTTCCTGCTATGCGTTGTGGTCATTTAACTTCTCTGCCTGACCTGACTGAAAGCCCCCTGAAGACCGTACGAGATCCAGTCTGGCTTAGGGCTCCCAGCACATAGTAGGTATTTGACGAGTATGTCATGACATTTGAATCAATCCCATGCTCAGCTGCCAGTGTTCTTCAGTACAGACTGGGAGAGTTTTCTCTCCCTACATCCATCCCTTCAGCTCCAGAGAGCACCTGCTCAGGCAGCCTGGCATGGGGATGGGAATAGCAGCTGGCCCAGGCTTCGTCCTTACCACTCCACACAACGGAAGCCCCACCTGGCCCGGGGGCTTACAGGGCACCGGGTGACTGAAGGCCCAGCCTGGGAGCCAGAGGTGCTGGTCTGTGGGGTCTGGACAACACATCAGCCCTCCTGGAGCCTTAGTTTCTCTTTGGCGGCTAGAGGATCAGCACCTTTCTACCTTCCTCACAGGGTATTGGGAGGTGACAGCAACGGCAGCTTTTAAAAAGCATTAAGCGAGGGGCATCTGGGTGGGTCAGTCGGTTAAGCGTCTAACTTCGGCTCAGGTCATGATCTCGTGGTTCATGGGTTTGAGCTCCAGGCTGGGTTCTGTGCTGACAGCTGGGAGCCTGGAGCCTGCTTTGGATTCTGTGTCTCCTTCTCTCTCTGCCCCTCTCCTGTGTGCACTCTCTCTCTCTCTCTCTCAAAAATAAATAAACGTTATAAAAAATGTAAAAATAAAAAGCATCAAGTGATGCACTAATACCAAGTAATATTACGATGAAAATAATTTTGGTCTGGTCTTTTTGGGGAGAGAAAAATGTAGTTATCAGTGTCCTACAAATAAGCCATTGAAAATGAATGTGAATGAAGTAAAACTCAAAAGAGGAAGAAGAGAAAAGAATCCCGAGCCTTTCTGAAGCTGCTCCTTGGTGTGGAAATGAAGCCAAGGGACTTAGCATTAACAGATCAGGCTCCCCAGGTGTGACTTGCCCAGACCAATGGTGAAGGTCTGTCCCTGACCCAGGAGGCCCGGACTATCGTGGGGAGAAACTTTCCAGCAAAGCTGCTGCTGGGCGTGTGGCTTGTTGGTACACGCAGCTGGAATATCTTTTCTTGTTGTCATTTTTTTTTTTTTTTTTTTTTGTTTTTTTTGCTGTGGTTATCTCATGTTAGAAGTTGCTGGAAGTACATTTCTCTCTCTCCTGAGAGAGAAGGTTATGCTGGCTTTGCATGTAGAATCACTTCTCAGTTTCTCCAGACCAGTGGCCTTTCCTTTTCCCATTTTTCTTTCTCTAGTCTTTGGCTATTCTACTAGATGTTAGTATTTGAAGGGAGGGTAGATTGGAGGGGAACATAAGTTGAGTTAAAATTCCATCTGGCGGGGCCCCTGGGTGGCTCAGTCGGTTAAGCCTCCGACTTCAGCTCAGGTCATGATCTCATGGTCTGTGAGTTCGAGTCCCGCGTCGGGCTCTGGGCTGATGGCTCAGAGCCTGGAGCCTGCTTCCGATTCTGTGTCTCCCTCTCTCTCTGCCCCTCCCCCGTTCATGCTCTCTCTCTGTCTCAAAAATAAATAAACGTTAAAAAAAAAAAATTCCATCTGGCAGTGGATTTGATAAATGTTTTAGTAGGGGAGAAGTTAGTATTTAACTACTGTTTTATTAAATTTGTTACCCATATTTTTCCTTTTTTTAAAAAAAAATTTAATGTTTAATTTCTTTCTATTTTTTTAATGAAATTTATTGTCAAATTGGTTTCCATACAACACCCAGTGCTCATCCCAACAGGTGCCCTCCTCAATGCCCATCACCCACCCCTCCCCTCCCTCTCACCCCCCATCAACCCTCCGTTCTCAATTTTTAAGAGTCTCTTATTTTTAATGTTTAATTTTGAGAGAGAGACAGACCATGAGCAGGGGAGGGGGAGAGAGGGAGACACAGAATCTGAAGCAGCTCCAGGCTCTGAGTTGTCAGCACAGAGCCCGATGCAGGGCTGGAACCCACAAACCTCGAGATCATGACCTGAGCTGAAGTCTGATGCTTAACTGACTGAGCCGCCCAGGTGCCCCTCCCATATTTTTTCTTATAGATTTTCAAAATTGGCCATGTATCAGAGAACAGAATACAAAATATCTATCATATCAACTTTAGTAAATTCATACATGGCATGTAAAAACAGGAGCTTCCAGAAGGTGGTGCCGAAGTCTGCCTTTTCTCCACCTCCTTCCTCACTCTAGAGTTTCAGTCTGCACATTTCACTCTCAAGAAAATGAAGTCTCTGTATCAGCACAGCCCAGCTCTAGTAAGAGATCCACAGCAGAAGATGTTGAGGGGGGAAAAATAGCCTCAAGAGGTGTAGCCGTGGTTGACACAGCTAAGAACTTCCAGGTTTCCCGATTGTTGATGGATTTTGTGCCAATTTAGGTTTGAAGAAATGTACCAGCAGGTGAAGGTCAGCCTCCCTCCCCATCTGCCACCTCTGCCTCCCACCGACCTCAGGGAGGTCAGATGTTTTGCTTTACAGTGAGGTACTGGGACCCCAGGGCAGAAGAAGGCTCTAAATTTGAGAGTAAGAGACTATAAATGTAAGACAGGAGATCCTGAGCCCCAGTGGCTGCCACTGCTGTCTTCAGGCTCATGACTCTGCCCCAGCCCATGGCAAGGACACAAATGGAGATGAAAGAAAGGGAAACCATCCAAGAGACAGGACTGTCCCTATGCATTCCCTCAAGTCTGGGGAAAAGGGCTGTGCAGGTGAGGAAACCAAAGAGAGTGAGAAACTGCAAAGCCAGGCTAACTAAACATTGACACCAAGCCTAAGCATCTGTTAATTGCTATCTAGGTACGTGGCATTATGAAAACGGAAAAGAGATGCAGTCCCTGGCCTCCAGGAATTAATAATTAGGGGGAAGGAAAGATTATTCCATCCAGGAGTATGTTAAAGCTAGCTGGCACCTGTGTGCTAAGTGTGGACATCTGTGTTCAGTAATACCGCGTCAGTAGCTTCGTATCAGCGGTGGTGGGAGTATTTACACCAGGGAAATCAGTAAACACCGCAAATCATGGCTCCCCCTCACCCAGAGCTGAATGTTAACCATTTACCAGCACACAGATTATTTGTCCCACAGCACAAACTGCTTAAATAAAGGGGGAGCGGGACATGCCAAGGCTGGGAAGCAATGGAGAGTGTTGTGGGTTTGCATTCAAGGTCAAGCTCTCCCACTTGATGACCGTCTGACCCTAGCCTCAGTTTCTATCTGTCTTTGGGACTAAAATCCTATGCTCGTTACCAAGGTGACAGGGGTAACCTTGTAAAATTTGTGAAATGATGCAGGTCTCATCCCAGTTTTTTATGAGAAATACAGAAGATAATGAATATTTATTTTTTCAATTATTCAGTAATGTTTATTGATTTTTCCTATATGCCAGACATTGTGCTACCTGGGTAGTCATAAAACATAAAAATACTTTGTAGATTATAAGGCTTTTGTACAAAGTCCTTTATAAACTAGAAGGTGTCATACATGATTTTTTTTCCTCTGCTTTCTTCGTGTCTCCCAGTCTGGATACACTCAAGTTTGCCGTATGACACATCCTGCAACTCATTGTACTCTGATGCCCTCATTTAAACTACAACACATGGCAGCCATCAAGAACAATGGTATGGAAACAAAACTGAGCCAAGAAAATATCCTTGAAATATTTCATTGACTGGAAATACGTAATAACAAAATTTGTACCAAATTATCTCTACATGTATATATGAACCCAAGAGAGTATACATTAAAATATTCACAGTAGCTTTCTCTAGGTGGTGAGATTGATGATTTTGATTTTTCTTCCTTGCCTAGATGTGATTTTACTTTTTCTACAAAAATTACCCATGTAATTTTTGAGTTAAAGATGAAGAAAAACATAAAAAATTTTCATTTAGCTATTTGTTCTATAAAATATTAAATTTCGATTTGAAAGGAGCCTTAGAGATCTTTACAGATGAGGAAACTGAGGTCCAGGGAGATGAGAACTGAACTAGTTGGACTTCCTTCTCTAAATTGGACATTTTCTCTCCCCTCTTTCCAAATGTGTTTGCAGAGCTCTTGATTATTAGTCTGAATCTATGCACTTTGTAATTAGATTCTCATCTTTAATTATCTTCCTGACTTTTTGATGTCTCTCCTCTTTCTCTCTTTCTCTTTCCTTCTTTCTTTCTTTCTTTCTTTCTTTCTTTCTTTCTTTCTCTCTTTCTCTCTTTCCTTCTTCTTTCTTTCTTTCTTTCTTTCTTTTTCTTTTTTTTTTTTAATAATGTTCAAGTGGCTGTTTGGTTTCTTTGACTTTTGTCTTTGAAAGACTCCTGAGGTAAATAAGCATTTTATCCTAATCAGTAGCCTCTTTAATTATATCTTCTCACATTTGCCCTTTGTTCTCTACCAACTAACTTTCTCAGAAATTTCCAAGGATGAATCATAATTCCTCAAAGCCATCATTCCTGGAATCAGAATATTTTTTTCTTTATCTAATGTAGGCTCAAGTAAGAGTTCTTGTATTATTAATACAAAGGTTTTTGCCTTCTGGGCCTCAGTTTTCATCTGCTAAGTGGATATTTTCTCTACTCACTTGATGACTATTTCTTACTGAAAACATCTTGGAAAATCTGAAGCCCCTCCAGCCTCAACTGACAGACACTTGACTCCTTAGATTGCATCTGAGTGAATGGATCTGGGCCAGGGGTAGTGATGGAAGCTAAAGAATCAGAGCTGCCTCTCAAGATGGGGAAGCTTGGACTGTACATGGGGGAAGCCCAAAGGGCCACAGCCAGGGTCAGAGCAAGTGAATTTGAATTCGACTTTTTTTTTATTAACTAAAGCCTCTTCTCTGACTGATGTCCCACACCCACTTACCCTGCTCAGGCCACCTATGACTACAGTTTGCTCCCTTTTCTGTGGCCATTCATGAGACTTAAAACACACACACACACACACACACACACACACACACACACACACACAGAGTAAATGAATTGATGTAAGCTTTCAGGTTTTCTCTGAGAGTCAAGGGTAACAGTGTCAAGTACAAATATATTTCTGTATATTCTATATATATGTTATATAGAGAATATGTAGGTGTTTATATTATAGATATTATATATATTTAATATATATAATGTGTAATGAATCTATATAATTAACATATATTAAATTAACATTTCTATTTCTGTACTATGTATGCAAACCACAAAGGTAAAGCTGCATATGTAATTTCAAGTTTTTTTTAGCAGCCTTGTTAAAAAAAAGGAAAATGAGATGTGACAGTAATTTTAGTAATACACTTTATTTAACCCAGTATATCCTAAATATTATCATTGTCACATGTAATGAATAGTAAAAAAATATATAATCAAGATAGTTTACATTCTCTTGTTCCTACCAAGTCTTTGAAATCTAGTGTTCATTCCACATTGAGAGTGCCTCTCAATTCGGACATTTTAAGTGTTCATTAGGCACATGTGGTTAGTGGCTACACATTGGAGAACACAGTTTGGAGGTGTATCTATATGAATTGCCAAGGTTTATCAGATGGAGAAGAATATAAAATGGGACTTCCAAGTGGATTTAATCTTATTAAAGGTGTCCGCTCTGTGGAATTGGATACAGGGAATGAAGTTTTACTACATACCTGGCATTATGAATATATGCAGCTATTTTTGTGTATAAATCAAAACTCCCAACAACTGTATAAGACGAGTAGAGAATGCTTATTTTACAAGTGAGGAAAATGAAACTCAGTCTAGATGGCTACCTAAAGGTGCCCCAGCGAGCAACTGGAGGAGGCAGGATACAAACCCAGGTCTTTGTAGTGCCAGAGCGCAGAGGTTTTTCCCTGCCCCACACCCTCAGTGTTCCAAGCACACAGATGTCCTGGATATCTGGTGGGAGACAAGCAAGTAACCAAGTGTGATAAGGTTGCTCAAGGCCAGTGTGAAAACACTAAGAAAGGGCATCCAGCTCAGACTGGGCCAGGAACAGCTTCTTGAAACCTACTGAGTCTGCTGAGGGTGACGGAGCTGAGGGAAAGGCCACCTCAGAGAGCTGCTGCAGGAAGGTGTCAAGGGTGGCTCTTTGGGGACCGCGGATGTGTCCAGGTGGCTAGAACAGGGCCTCCATGTGCTGTGGCAGATACATGGGCTGAAAGCAGAGAAGTCAGTGAAGGGTACAGAACCAAGGGATTTTACCCCCCAACGGCTATGGGGTTTTAAGCATGTGATTGATAAGAAGGGATTTGACTTACATGGCCCCACACCCTGGACACAGAGTGGAGGGTGAACGAGGGACCCTGCCTGGGTTTCTTTTGTAAATTTAAATTTCAAGTCTAACCAAAGGGGGTGACCCCCAGAGGTTAGGACCTGCCCGGTCAACAGAATGAAGCAAGAACTCTGGGAGGTGCTTGATGTTCATGCCAGGGTTTGGGGCCAGGCAAATCTAAACTCAAGTTCTGGCTTTGCTATTCTCTAGCTGCGCCACCTCCGCCAAGACTCAGTTTCTACATCTGTAAAGTGGGAACCACACAGGGACTAACCCGGTAGAGCTGTTGTGAGGATTAAGTGAAACAGTAGTGGCCAAATGCTTAGCAGAGTAGCTGGTACCTGGCCAAGGCTGAATCAAGCGTGCCCGGTGGTGTCACTGTTACCAAAGCAGTGACACAGCCAAGCATCTAGGACCATGGGTGGATGGCAGCACACGGACTTCCCAAGTCACTTCCTGTGTCACATGCACCTTGGCATGTAGCCAGGTACAGGATACCTGTCCCATGACTGAGGTTAGTTAAATGATACAAACAGTATGTAAAGTACAGCTGTGGCCAGTGTTTCAGGGGAGAACTGTGCTCTAGTTAGAAGTGAAGAAACGTGCTCAGTGTAGTTTGCCAGGGCTGTGGTAACAAAGTACCACAAACTGGGTGGCTTGATACAACAGAAAGGTATTTTCTCCCAGCTCTGGAGGCTGGAAGTCTGAAATCAAGGCGTCCGCAGCCATGCTCCCTCTGAAGGCTCTAGGGGACAATCCTTCCCTGCCTCTTCCAGCTTCTGGTGGTGGCTGGCAATCTAGCATTCTTCGCTTGTAGCGCCGGCTGCAAAGGGTGCACCCGCATCCCATTACCAGGTGTGGGTGCAGAGGCTCGCACAGGTGGAGGAACATGGCGGCTCCTGTTCTTCCTCTCCTGTGTCCTGTTTACACTTAGTTCTGCCTTCTCTCCCTCTTTTTTTTTTTTTTTTTAATTTTTTTTGAAAGACAGAGAGAGAACGTGACCAGGGGAGGGGCAGAGGGAGAGGGAGACACAGGATCTGAAGCAGGTTCCAGGCTCCGAGCTGTCAGCACAGAGCCCGACGTGGGGCTCGAACTCACAAATCGCGAGATCATGACCGGAGCCGAAGTCGGACACTCAACCGACTGAGCCACCCAGGCGCCCCTCTTACTCTTTTTAATATCACCCAACATGGAGTCGAATATATTTTAAAATATTTTTGTACTTGCTGAAAAAAAACCATCATGCCCTCTTCTCTAGCTATCTGGTGCATGAAAAAAGTGAGTTAGCTTTCAGAATATACATTGCTAATCCTTCCCTGCAATTTGTCAGGAGATATCGAGAAACTTGGAGGCAGGAATTTCAGTCTGGGGGCCTGCTCTGAGGATAAAGATATGTTCATTAAGATGTTTTCCATGTCAATATAAAACTTTTTTAGGAAGTGTACTTTATCTTTCTTTTAAATAAAATAGCTTTATTGGGCTATAATTGACATGAAGTAAACTGTACATATTTAAAGCATACGGTTTGATAAATCCTGGCACATGAATAAACTCATCATTATGATAACATTTTGTAACTTATTTTTGTCCACTATTTTATAATGTAGAATGTGCATTTTGTCAAGTTATGAAATATTATTTTAGAAAATTATTTTAATGATTACATAGTATCCTATGGGATATAACTTATAATATTGAAAAATGATAGATGATTGAAATATTCAACAAGAGAGAATTGTTATTGGTGAGTGAATATACACACTCATGCATGCACACACATACAGAGGAAGAGACTGAAAAAAATTTTAACTGCTAACAGTGACTATCTAGGTGGTAGGATTCCAGGTGGCTTTTTCTCTGTCTCTGTTTTTCTATGTTTTATGCACAGAACCATCATAATTAATTTTTTTTCAACGTTTATTTATTTTTGGGACAGAGAGAGACAGAGCATGAACGGGGGAGGGGCAGAGAGAGAGGGAGACAGAATCGGAAACAGGCTCCAGGCTCTGAGCCATCAGCCCAGAGCCTGACGCGGGGCTCGAACTCACGGACCGCAAGATTGTGACCTGGCTGAAGTCGGACGCTTAACCAACTGCGCCACCCAGGCGCCCTGTCATAATTAATTTTAAAAAACAAAAATAATTCATTTTTTTCTGAAAATTAAAAATTGAATGTCTAAAAGTAGAATTTTACACACAACAGTGGGATATATTGTCATTTAAAATGTTTAGGTGGCTCAGTTAAGCAGCTGACTTCGGCTCAGGTCATGATCTCATGGCTCAGTGAGTTCAAGCCCCTCGTCGGGCTCTATGATGACAGCTCAGAGCTGGAGCCTGCTTTGGATTCTGTGTCTCCCTCTCTCTCTGCCCTTCCCCCATTCACACTCTGTCTCTGTCTCTCTCAAAATATGAACGTTAAAAATAATAATAATAAATTTTTAAAAGAATATTTCATGATATGAGAAAACATGTTATATTTAGTAAAATAAACAGCTTACAAAATAATATAGCTTAATTAAAATTTTTCAATGTTTATTTTTGAGAGAGAGAGAGAGAGAAGCAGAGCGCGAGAACTGCGAGATCATGACCTGAGCCCAAGTTGGATGCTTAACTGACTGAACCACCAGGCGCCCCAATAGTTTAAAGAGCATTGAAAAGACAAACTATCATTAATATGCCAAATGATCTCTAGACAGTGGGATTATGGGAGATCTGAATTTCCTGTATTTCCCAGATTTTCAACAATGGATATAAATATATCAACTGTAAGAGAAGTTATTAAAAGTCATGTTATAAAATTCAGTATTTTCAGGTTGTGAAGCAATGGTTAATTTTTATCTTATTTGGTGGCTTTCTATATTTTCAAATACTCAGTGAAAATAAAAATGAGCTTAAACTGTATCAGTTACTGCAATACAAAATAGTAAGATCAGGGGAACACTAATAATAACGTACCTCATGATCGTTTGACACGCATTGTGTTATCCAGTGTTTTCGTGTATAGCTTCTCACTTGACCTCAAAGGAAGTCTGAACAGGTGAAAACAACCGTGTGGCTCTGAAAAGATGCTGCCTCCCCATGCCGGTTGCCCAGCCAGCATGTCCTACGGGACATGTCCAAATCTGCAGCCGAAGGCCGGTGCATGCTGCTTCTAAACCTTCTACATAAGTAAACAAAATTGTACGGAATGCTTCAGTTTTCTGTAAGCTGGGTTTTTTTTTTAACCTGTTAAAGATCGAAATAGAACATAAAATTTACCATTTTCACCATTTTTTAAAGTGTACATTTCAGTGGCATTAAGTGCATTCACACTATTATGCAGCTGTCGCCTCCATCCACCCCCAGGACATTTTCGTCCACAGCCAAGGGATCGTAAAGGGTTCTGAATGGATAGTCACATAACACATTTTATTCCTGTCCTAATGGTCAGGTAAAGAAACCGAGATTTTCTAGCTGTTCTTTCCTTGCCTTTCCCATTTTCTCTCAACACTTGCAGTCTGGCTTCTGCCCACAGCTGCCCTGGAACTGGTCCCATCACAGGGCTGTCAGCATGTCCTGGTGGCAGAATGTCCTGGGCTGCTTACTTCTGGTCTGCAGGATTGGAAAATCTGTTTTCTAATCCCTCCTGGAAATTTTCTCCTTCTGAAATTTCTTTAACACCCTCTCTCCTAGGTTTCCTCTTACCTCTTGGATCTTTCTTCTGACTTCTCCTCATCCTGGCTCAGGAACTCACCTCCACTCCCAGAACCACCTGTCTGGTTTCCCTGCCTCTAGGCCTGCCCTGCCAACCAGTGTGATATTTCTTAGAGGGAAATCAGATCCTGTCTCAAGTCTACAAATGTGACGTGAGTTGACAGGATAAAACCTAAGCTCCTTAGTTAGATATAGAATGCTCCTTCTAACCTGGCTGTCCATGACCTCAAACACTATCCTCAGTAGCACCCCTTTAAAGTCTGCAGCATAGAACCATTTGTAGTTCCAGTGTTGGAGAACTAGGCTGCTTATACATCATCAGCATACATGGAGTCCCTCTACTCTAGAATGTAGGTTATGATTGCTTGTGTGGCTGTCTCCCACCGCAGGGCAATCTCCTGGAGGGCAGGGATCTTGCTTGCCCTCTTATATCTCAGTGTTTAGTATGACACCTTATAGTTGGACAAAAAGTTAATAAATGTAAGCGGCTCCAGAAAATAGATTGATGTCTTGATGGAGATCTCAAAATCATTTAAGGGTACAGCTAGGACTGAAAGCCAGGTCTTCAAAAGTCCCGCCCTTCCACTATAAATATTCTTAGTACTGAGCGACCTGGTCCAGAGACAAGATGCCGAGAGGAAATGGATGCAGTTCCTGCACGGTCCTAGGAAAATAAGAAAACAGAGTAAGTGCTGCAACCCTAGACTAGGGTAGAAAGACTTATTACCAGAAATCATTTTACAGACAGCCCAAATTGAAGAGTTTTATTATAGCTGGTATTATAAAGCCACACCACAACAGTGAAGAAGACCAGCATCTGGTGGGAGCCCCTCTCCCACCTCCTGCTGTATGTTCTGGAACAAGAGCCAGCAGTGTGCTTCAGCAGAGGATGTCACTCTGTCCTCCCCCAGACTAGGGGGTCTGCTTGTCCCCGATCACAGCCTACAAGAGCTTGTGGCTGCATATGAGCTCACACAAGACAGAAAGGCAGAGTGCTACAGCTGAAAGAGAGCTACATCGGGGTCCTCTAGTCTTCCTTTCTAGATCAGCCACTAACTGGCTGCATGACCTCATAATGCCCAGGAGCCTTCTTCATATGTACACCAAAAGGATATTTAGAGATCTTTCAACTCTGACATTCAGAAAGAGGAAAATATTGGCAGTTAAAGATTGTTCAGTACCTTTAAGGCTAAACTGATTCACATTTTCCAAACTATCAAAGGAATGGCTGAATCCTCTTAGGGTGCGGGTAGTCACAGACTTATCTCCACTCGCCCATGACTATGACCCAAGTCTTGATTACTGTTGCTTATGTAAATGCCCAATTTATTTGAGGTGCTTCTTGGGAAGAAAGGACTTTCACTGCACTCTTGGTTTTAACTATTTTCACATGTTATGAGTTGGGATAAATGACATAATTGATTCATCTGTGTGATATAGAACCTGCTCAGAGCTCTTTGAAAGATGGCTGTACTGAATGAGAGATCTGGCCAGCGCCACTGCTGAGAGGGAAAGGAGAGAGAAAAACAGAGAGAGACAGAGAGATTACCTCTTACAAACCCAGATGGTTTCTTTAGTGGTTGTGAGCGGTTTCCACAAAACCCACCTATCATTTAGTCAAGACTGTTAATTAGGGGGCACCGATTTGGACTGCTGTCTGTACCCCCCAAGCTGGTTATTAACCAGGAGGCTGAGCTCGTGGTTGCAGCAAACACTGGAAATTCACCAAGTGCTGCCCCGGGGGAGATGGTCTACCTCCATGTCCTAGATGGCCATGGGGTTCAGGCATTTCATTGTCCAAAGTCCTACATGTATCTTACTTTACTTAATATTCACAACCACAAAAGGGGTAGAAAATACAAGATTTAATCACCAGATTAGGAAACTGAGGGTCAGAGAGAAAAAAGAACTCACCCAACATTACACAACTGGGGATTCAAAACCATTCCTGACCCTAAGACCATACTCTGCCTCTCTGATAGCCTGATCCACCTGCTTCCTTTCCCTGCCTGTTAGGTTTTCTGCATTTCACCATCTACCAAACGAATACAGCCACTTACATCCCTCCTTCTGTCTCTCCAATCTCATGATTCTCTCTGACTCTGATTGTTTCATGGGTTACTTACCACCTGGTAAGTTTCCCGAGGCCAAGGAGCATGGCTCCTACTTCGTTTTTCATCCCAAATGACTAGATAGCAAGCTGGGCACATTTGATGGTCAATGGGGCAACACAGAACCCACAAATGACATGTTCAAAGATCACAGATTTTTGACTCATGGAATGACCCTTCCCTTTGTGTCCTCAACTTTTTTCTCTCCCACAATCTTGTTTGTGTTTCACAGACCCTCCTGCAGCTCTTCGGATGTCAACCAAAATGTCATTCCACCGGGGTCTTCCCTGACCACTTGATTTCAAGTTTTACCCTGGTTATTTCCTTTCATGGTCTCCCTCTGTCTCTCTCTCTCTGTCTTTAATTTCTCTATAAATGTGTTGTTCTTTGTTTATGTTATAGAACCCAGAGTTCTAAGCCACATCTTTGAATTACTCTGTCCCATGTACATGTGAGATGTGAGATATACATGTTAATAAACTTGGGTTTGGGGAGTTTTATTCGTTTTTGCCTTGTTAATCTTGCTTTTATTATACAATGTCATCTGAAACCTATGATGAGTAGAAGAAAATTCTTCCCCTACTGTGTGTCCCGATTTTTTTTTTCCTTTGTGCATTTACTTGATAAGCTCCTGGTTGTCCTGAATGGCCTCTGCTGTAACAACAGCCTCCCTTTCTAGTGTTGATAGGTTTCAACTGTAGAGTGCTGGGGTCCACTGCAGTATTGCTAATAAGTACAAAAAAAACTTTGAATTTTCTGCTTGGAAAAAAAAAATCTCCCAAGAAATGTGTTTAGGCCTATTAAGTGTCACTGTCTGTTGACATGCTAAAAGTCTCTTCCTTAAAACCAGTTGTCACAGATCAGGATGCCAGCCCCATTGCTTCACTCACCTGTGACCATGACCTGCATCTAGATTACTGCATTGGACATAGATTTGCTTTGCTATTTTCTCAAGGCATGTCAACATAATAAATTATGTTCTTATTCAAGTATAATTAACACAGTGCTATATTAGTTCAGGTGTACAATATAATGATTCAACAATTCCATAGAGTTCTTAGTGCTCATCAAGATAAACGTACTCTTAATTCCCTTTATCCATTTTACTCGTAACTCCTCCTACCTCCTCTCTGGCAATCACAAGTTTGTTCTGCATATTTAAGAGTCCGGTTTTTGTCATTTCTCTTTTTTTGTTTGTTTGTTTTGTCTCTTTAAATTCCACATGAGTGAAATTATATGGTATTTGTCTTTCTCTTACTGATTTATTTCACTTAGCATTAGAATTAGACTCCTAGAAGATTCTAGGTCCATCCATGTTGTTGCAAATGGCAAGATTTTATTCTCTTCTATGGCCGAGTAGTATTCCATTGTATGTATTACACCACTTCTTTATCCATTCATGTACCGATGGACACTTGGATTGCTTCCCTATCTTGACTATTGTAAATAACACTGCAATAAATATAGGGGGGCATATATCTTTTCTAATTAATGTTTTCATTTTCTTTGGGTAAATAACCAGTAGTGGATCATATGGTAATTCTATTTTTAATTTTTTGAGGAACTTCTATACTGTTTTCCACAGGGGCTACACCAATTTGCATTCCCACCAACAGTGCGTGAGGGTTCCTTTTTCTCACATCCTCACCAACCTTGTTATTCCTTATATTTTTTATTCTAGCCATTCTGACTAGAGAAAAAAAGTGATTTTCATTGTGGTTTTAATTTGCATTTCCCTAATGATTAATGATGTTGAGCATCTTTTCATGTGTCTGTTGGCCATCTTTATGTCTTCTTGGGAAAATGTCTCCTATTCACATCCTCTGCCCATTTTTTAATCAGATTGCTTAGTTGTTGTTGTAGTTGTTGTTTTTTTTGGTGTGGAGTTGTATAAATTCTTTAGATATTTTGCATATTAACCTCTTACCAGATATATCATTTGCAAATATCTTCTCTCAGTAGGGTGCGCTTTTGTTGGTGGTTTCCTTCACTATGCAGAAGTTTTTCATTTTGGTGCAGTGTCTATAGTTTAATTTTGCTTTACTTTCCCTTGCCAAAGGAGACATACCTAGAAAAATGTTTCTACAGCTGATGTCCAAGAAATTACTGCCTATGTTTTCTTCTAGGAACTTTATATTTCCAGGTCTCACATTAGGTCTTTAATCCATTTTGAGTTTATTTTTGTGTATGGTGTAAGAAAGTGGTCTAGATTCATTCTTTTGTATGTAGCTATCCAGTTTTCCCAAGACCATTTGCTGAAGAGACTGTCTTTTCTTCATTGCGTAGTCTTGCCTCTTTATCATAGATTAATTGACCATATAATTGTGGATTTATTTCTGAGTTCTCGGTTCTGTTGATCTATGTGTCTATTTTTGTGCCGGTACCATACTGTTTGGATTACTACACATTTGTAGTATATCTTATAGTCTGGGATTGTCATACCTCCAGCTTCATTCTTTTCCAAAATTGCTTTGGCTATTCAGTCTTTTGTGGTTCCATACAGATTTTAGTATCATTCATTTTAGTTTTGTGGTGTATGTGCTCAGTATTTTTTAACATTTTTAAAAATGTTTATTTATTTAAGTAATCTCTACACCCAATGTGGGGCTTGAACTCACAACCCAGAGATCAAGAGTCACATGCTCTTCTGACTGAGCCAGCCAGATGCCCTTATACTATTGGTATTCTGATAGAGATTGCATTAAATCTGTATATTGCTTTGGGTAATATGGACTTTTAAACATTGTTAATTATTCTAATCTATGAGCCTGGAATATCTTTCCATTTATTTGTGTTGTCTTCAGTTTTTTTAAATCAGTGTTTTGTAGTTTTCGGAATATAGGCCTTTCACCTTCTTGGTTAAGTTTATTCCTAGGTATTTTATTATTCTTGGTACAATTGTAAATGGGACTTTTTTTTAATTTCTCTATCTGCAACCTTATTATTAGTGTATATAGAAATGCAACAGGTTTCTGTACATTAATTTTATATCCTGTAACTTTGCTGAATTTATTTATCAATTCTAGTAGTTTCTTGATGGAGTCTTTAGGGTTTTCTGTGTATAGTAGTATGTCATCAGCAAATAGTGAAAGTTTTGCTTCCTATCCAATTTGGATGCCTTTTATTTCTTTTTCTTGTCTGATTGCAGTGGCTAGGACTTCCAGTATTATGATGAATAAATGGTGAGAGTGGATGACTTTGTCTTGTTCCTAATCTTAGAAGAAAAGCTCTCAGTTTTTCATCATTGAATATCATGTTAGCTGTGGATTTTTCATATATGGCATTTATTATGTTGAGGTGTGGTCTCTCTGAAACTACTTTGTTGAGAGTTTTTTCATAAGTGGATGTCGTACTTTGTCAAATGCTTTTTCTACATCTATTTATATAAATCGTATTGTTTTTATCCTTTCTCTTGTTAATGTGGTTGATTGACTTGTGAATATTGAACCACTATTGCATCCCTAGAATAAATCCTACTTGGTTGTGTTGAATGAGTTTTTCAATGTATTGCTGAATTTGGCTTGTTGATATTTTGTTGAGGGTTTTTTATCTATGTTCATCAGAGATACTGGCTTGTAGTTCTTTTTTCATAGTCTCTTTATCTGGCTTTGTTGTCAGAGTAATGCTCATAGAATGAATTAGGAAGCTTTTCTTCCTCTTCTATGTTTTTGGAATAGTTTGAGAAAAATAGGTATTAACTCTTCCTTAAATGTTTGGTAGAATTCACCTGTGAAGGCATCTGGTCCTGGACTTTGGCTTGTTGAGAGTTTTTTGATTACTGATTTGATTTCATTGCTAGTAATTGGTATGTTAAAATTTTTTATTTCTTCTTGATTCAATTTTGGAAAGTTACACATTTCTAGGAATTTATCCATTTCTTCTAGATTCTTTAATTTGTTGGCATATAATTTTTCATAGTATTCTCTTGTAACACTGTGTATCTCTGTGTTGTCAGTTTTTATTTCTCCTCCTTTATTTCTGATTTTATTTAATTTACCCCTTTCTTTTTCTTGATGGGTGTAGTCCAAGTTTTATCAATTTTGTTTAATTTTTCAAAGAACCAGCTCCTGGTTTTATTGATCTGTTGTGTTGTTTTTTTAATCCTGATTTCATTTATTTTTGCTCTAATCTTTACTGTCTCTTTCCATCTACTGGTTTTGGGATTTGTTTGTTCTTTTTCTAGCTCCATTAGGTATAAGGTTAGGTTGTTTGAAATTCTTCTTGCTTCTTTTTTTTTTTTTTTTTTTTTTTATATTTTTTTTTTTCAACGTTTATTTATTTATTTGGGACAGAGAGAGACAGAGCATGAACGGGGGAGGGGCAGAGAGAGAGGGAGACACAGAATCGGAAACAGGCTCCAGGCTCCGAGCCATCAGCCCAGAGCCTGACGCGGGGCTCGAACTCACGGACCGCGAGATCGTGACCTGGCTGAAGTCGGACGCTTAACCGACTGCGCCACCCAGGCGCCCCCAAATTCTTCTTGCTTCTTAAGGTAGGCTTGTATTGCCATAACCTCCCCTCTTAGAACAGCTTTGCTGCATCCCAGAGGTTTTGGACTGATGTGTTTTCTTTTTCATTTGGCTCTATGTATGTTTTTTTTTTTATTTCCTCATAGAAAGAAATTGTTTAGCAGCATGTTAGTTAGCCTTGATGTATTTGTGTGTTGTCCAGATTTTTTCTTGTAATTGATACCTGGTTTCATACTGTTGTATTTGGAAAAGTTGCATGATGAATTCTTTATTCAGTGTTTTTGAATTCACTGAGATTTGTTTTATGGCCTAATGTGTGGTCTGTTCTGGAGAATGTTCCATGTGCACTTGAAAAGAATGTGTATTCCACCGTTTTCAGATGGAATATTCTGAATATATCTGTTAGGTCCATCTGTTCCAATGTGTCCAAAGCCACTGTTGTCTTGTTCATTTTCAGTCTAGATGATCTATCCATTGATGTAAGTAGGGTGTTGAAGTCCCTTACTATTATATATTACTGTCAATTTCTTCCTTTATGTCTGTTAATAGTTGCTTTATGTATTTAGGTGTTTCCATGTTGGGTGCGTGAATTTTTGTAATTGTTGTATCTTCTTATTGGATTGTTCCCTTTATCATTAGGTAGTGGCCTTCTTTGTCTCTTGTTACAGTCTTTGTTTTAAGGTCTATTTCGTCCAATATAAATATTGCTACCCCACCTTTCTTTTTGCTTCCATTTGCATGATAAATGTTTTCCTATCCCTTCACTTTGAAGCTGCATGTGTCCTTAGGTCTGAAGTGAGTCTCCTGTAGGCAACATATAGATGGGTCTTGCTTTTTTATCTATCCAGTCACCCTGCCTTTTGACTGGATCATTTAGTCCACTTACATTCAAAGTGATTGTTGATTGGTGCGTTCTTATAGCTATTTTGTAACATGCTCTATGGTTGATTTTTAGTTCTTTA